TTTTTATATCTTATTGGAACTGCAATCCTTTGAAGGGAAATAAAGAAATTACTTTTTTGACCTGCAATGAAGAAAGTTCATTTGCAGGTTATAGTAAAGTACTTCTTGCTTCTTTGAGTGAAGAGCTTTCTTAAAATCTTGTGTGACTAGTTCTTTTGAGCTGGTCATACCACTGAGATGAAGTGTTGATATTTAAATTATTTTAACAGGTCTTCTTACGCTGTTTTAAATATTTTCTTATAAAAAAAAGCAAATAAAATGCCCCAAAATTTTCTCTCAAGCAATACTCCAAGTCACTTCATGGCAATGAAACCAAGATCAGTCATTACCTATAGGGTGCTGGACTCTTTTTTCAAGCCTTACCTTTTACAGTAGAAACAGGGTCAAACAGAGGATATGGAGTGGGAACCCTAGACTGAAAAGGAATTGGACTAAACACTCTACAGTTCGACTCCATTCTTGCTGTATTGTGTGGTATTGCAGAAGACAGAGGAGTTGACAGAATGGCCTCTGGAAATTCAAATGGTACAGGTGTGCTTCTGAAGTTCAACTCCTGGGAAGGCATTAAGATGAAAGTGGCGCAATTAACTTAGTAATTATTTTTAACCTTAAGCGTGAATCACTACACAGAAAACAACAAAATATTACGACTTTCAAGTGATGTTCTAAAACAAAACGCCAATCAACAAAAGTTGTGGTCTACAATGTCATTATTTCTGGGAAAACTGATTAAATTTTGAAGCATCACAATTTGATGAGGAACATACTGTTTTAACAATTAAAAATGAATCCTTTTACAGCCAGAAGAGATTAACTTGTAATTGCTCATTGTGATTCCAATACATTATCTTATTAATTGATTGTGAGAAAAGAGGAGCTTGTCGACCAGAGGGTGTTATCTTGATTTTATCCTATAACTCCCATGAGTGACCAAATCAGAATTTCTCCTGACAAAAACCAAATAATATTAAGTTGACAAGTAATGAGAATAAATAAAAATATCCATTGGGTGATCATTAGTTGATCTAATACCAAATTCTCCAAAGTAACATTATAAGAATTGTACAGCAGACAGTAAAGAGAATTATTATTGAGATCTTGAGAGTGAAAGGGTTAAAGTTGGATTTTTCTGTCTTAATTATAAGGAAGTATACAGGATTTAGTTGCAAGAATAATTGTTTCTTGGGAGTTAATGTAATCCAGAATAAAGATGTAAAAGGTACGAAAAAATATATCCACACAACAATATCAACTAATTAGCCTTGGAGACAAATCCCACAAGGAAATTTCACTCTTACTTCACAGTTGCCTTGAATATCACCATGAATTTCACTCATAGTACTCACATTTAGAAGCAAAATGTATGTGTGGCTTGTAGGTTTGAAATAAATGTGAAGTCAATCCTCATGAAAGGGTTGAATCGTGATTTTGAGAAGAAGTTCGTTGATTACTTCCAGGGTGTGAAGACTCTTTTGAATGTTTTGCACGTGCAAATTTTGAGTATTCTTGGAATTAATTGGGCTGTATTTAACTGCTCGATCTTTAATATGCAATAAGGCCCTCGTTTTCTCCGCTTCCAAGACTACATTCTTAGATACAGTGGAGTAAAAATCAAAATATTCTAAAGGAAGAAAATCCAGAACAGCACGTGAATAGACATTTGCTATGAAGACCTCACACAAAGGATTTCAAAACAAAGTTCAGATTTTTTTCAAATTAACGATTACAATCATGAAGTTTTAGACCTCTCGGGCTGGCGATAAAAGTGTTTGGGGGAAAGAAATCGGAAACATCGAAAAATTAGACGATCGTTGTGAACCGAAAGTACAAAACTAACGAAATGAATTAATTTTGCCCTCGCTGGGAGCTGAAATACTTCGGAAGAAAAGTCGGAATAAACTGAGTTAAATATTTGGCTGATCCGCGAGGAAAATCTGGCTACAATAGCGAAAATTGGATAGCACCTGAATGTTAATTGTGAGACACAAGTAAGCTTGTTTAAACCTGCAAGCAGCTGTAAAAAAAAGCCCGCCCATTACGGAGCACGCGGATCTGGTTAATCTCAACTCAGGCTTGGTATAGCAGATGGCCAACAAAAGCTGGGCTATCTACATGCTTAATCTAAAAGGATAATACATCGACCTACCACATTTCGAGGGGTCTCCGTTACTACTGGGCGAAATTCGCTGTCAGATTGCGCTGCCATTTCACACGGAAATTCAGTACAGGTTGGGAATACTGGATATATAGTTGATACTTTCGACAGATTGAACTGCCTCAGTTTACAGCTTTGATGGACACCTGTCAGTCAGGCATTTACGTATCCTGTCTCAAACAATTCCTCCCCCCCACGTTCATGGGGTTATTGCTTTTTCAGTGAGTTAAATATGTAACGGCAATGCCAAAAAATAAGAGAGAAAGTCACTTCTGAAGTTGTCGATTTAACATTAGTAGATCTTACGAGATTTTGCACTTGCTTTTTTTCTTTCCCAGTTGGGGAGGCTAATGTGCGCCATAGTATGGGCAGAATTTACGTGATGAGACAGACTTAAATGGGCTGCGAACTTACAGAGTTGTTAGGAAATCCACAATAGGATCGCAATTCTCAAATATTTGCCTAAGCTGAAATTTGCAGAGCTTCGCTGGTCACTAAAGAAAAAATAAAATGAATCGAGAATGCAGTTCGTAGTATATTTACTAGATAGAGCGGACTAGTGGAACTGTCTCTACAAGTTTTTTATTTGAAAATTCATCGTTATTATACAAAAGTTAAAACACCTTGTTCACGATCAACCAGGTCTTCCGTTTATGATTTCCTAATCGATGGACAAAAAGCAAATATTGCAACGCACTAAGGAGACTATCTTAAATTATTATACTTGTAATGTGGAATTTAGATGCAACGAACATGATGACGTTATTCGTTGCTAATAAATAATCGACTACATAGACCGATGCACGATCATCACTCAGCAATTTGAAGAAATGTATTTGTAACTCCTGAAGAGTAAGCATTTCCGAGAAATCTTATTTATACCGCGCTACATACATATGAGAAAGCCTCATGGCCTCATCTCACCAAGTACATGTAATATATGATATGCAGTGACGGAGCATTCCCCAAATTTATATCTACACATCTTGTTCCGTATCCCCGAAAAATTAGACAACCGCATAACAGAGCAATCGTATGTTAGGCGGTACTCGAATAACGCGGTTAGCTACTACTTTGATTCTATGAGCGGAAAAAAAATTCTTATGACTGTAAACGGCGTCCAAGACTGAAGAATCACCGACGCCACGCACAGCTACTGGCTTGGCATTATTACGGGTACATAGTGAAAAATGTACCTACGCTACAAGTAAGCCTCTTGCCACAGTTGGATGTATAAAAGTGGCTGTGCCCTACACATGGGCACTCTTAGAATCCCATCAGAAATTTGAAACCTCTGCGTACGAATTTTTCACATGAAATATGTTCTTCAAAACTCCTAAAACCTACAAGATCATAAAGTATCTATTAGTCTGTAACCTACACAATGTTCAATATACACAGTTTGGCGCCTAATGCACCTATCAAATATAGAGAAATATATTAAGTTGAAGTTTTTCTGTATAAATTCAATCTGGGCCTTTAGTGTCGCCTTCCACTTGAACCAACTCTTTGCGCCTTTTTCTGCGAACTCGGTGATACATCCGGCTGAAAGGGATTTGATATTCTCAATAATATTGGATCAGTTTGTTTTTGTTTCTCTTTCTCCTGTTGGCTAACAAGTCGCGAAAGTGCTTATCGGAGCTGAGTCTTGATATCACTTATAGAAACAGACTAAAGAGTTTTAAAATTCTTCCTCGTTGTCAACTTCCATCCTGATGCTGTCCAAAAAGCTCGAGTTCCTTTTCTGCATTTTAACTTTTTGTTTCTCAAAGTTCTTCTTTTTGTCCTGCAACAAATAATAACTTTGTCACTTCTATTCACGTCCGTCAATCAGTTATAGTCACTGAGAACTATTTTTCCGAATGGAGTTTCCATTCATGCACGTCCGTACTTTTAACACAAGAGAATCAAATTCTTTTCTTTGAGGAATGACTGTTATTCTCGAGAGAAAGAAAAGGCTGCCACGCCCTCATATGAATGGTCCAAGGTTAGTTAAAGTCGAATCAGAAGTTTCCTCAAGAACAGGAAAAAATAGCGCCGATCACATGCGTGGAGACTAAGAAAAAAACAAGAGAACTGGAGGAAAACTAGAGTACAGAAGATCTGGAGAACTACAGAAAACTAGAGGACTTTGGGAAAGACTTGCTCTCCCACAAGACACATTATACACCATACACAGTAAGTTTGACCCAGTCCACTCACCTCCATCGTCGTCATGGAGTCTGTCCGAGCACGTGACGCTGAAGTAGGTCGCTCAGTTCCAGAGCCCGGGCGATTCCTTGACGCTGGCTCAGAGCGATTTTCCTTCCCTCCCTCTACTGTTAAGTCCTCCTGAAGGAAAGAAAATACGTAGGTTAAACCTAAACCACACGGGCTGGTGTTTTTCTCTGTCCTTCCTTCGTCAGTTTAGTTAGTTATTTTAAGTCATTAACGTTAAAACAATGGGTTTTGCCAGATATCGGGAAAAATAAGCCTGTCAGTAAGCAAATCTCTTCCTAGAAAATCCTTGTTTCGAGTGATATTCACGTCCTCATCGCATGTTCCCATCTGCCATAGTTAAGATTTTCTCGCCTATCATGACATTCTAGACAACCACGCTTTGTTCACTCGCCTTTTGGTTGAGCGACTAGTAGAATGATTGACAGAAAGACATCTAAATACACAGATCCAGACAGACAGTCAAACCGACAATTATGAATTGATTTTGTTTCACTAACCTCAGTATCACTGATCCAGCTGTCCTCTCCACTCTCCAGTCCTCCCACTCCACTGTCTGACACTTTGGATGGTGCACCGCCATCTTGGTCACTTCCTACAGACTCCATACTACAATGGCAAAGACAAAAATCAGTGTAAAACCAACCCAGAAATATCCTGTCCGACAACTACCTGAACAGTTGCCTGCCAAGAGTACAGACCAGATAATGCCAAATGGTATACTTGTGATTACCTTTTCCTTCGCTTGTGTTCGCTAGTCATCAACTGAGCGAGAGTGCTATCCTGTCTTGTAAGCTCGTTTTCTAAAAGAATGTTACGCACACGTTAATTGTGGGATTATTTGTTGAGGCGAGATCGCCTCAAACGCTCAACTCTAGAATCAAATGTCCAAGTTCGAGCCCTAACCGCCAGGTCATTGTGTTGTGTTCTAGAGAAAGAAAACTGAACTCTCACAGCGTCTATCTCATCTCGCGGGTGCAAATGGCTACTGGAAAACTGTCAAGCGTCAAGGGTGTTGACTCGTATAGACTAGCATCACTAGCATCACTAGCATCACTAAAGAAAACCGAAAAACTCTAGCAATGATAAGCAGTTGCAGACTCGTAAGACTTGGCCTCAACCTGACCTGGTTGTAAATTGATTCAACGATAAATTTATAGCCATTATCAGCACATGACAAACACTAATTGCGGCAAACTCTCTGACAAGGAACCAGAGCTTCCACGCGATTAATTGGCATTCAACAAGTAATGTCATGATTAAAATTTCAGATTTGACTTCGAATTTAAGAAGGCAAAGTTTTCAATATCCCGAAAACAATATGTATGAATTATATTATTTTTTAACCAGTAAGAGTAGCGAGATTACCTCAAACGAGTTCTTATCGCGAGAAAGAGAAATTTCCATCAGAGCATGGAAAATCAATTCACGACTTAAGTGTCCAGATTTTTGACAGGCTAAGGATTAGACAAATAGTGACTATAACTAGAGCAAGAACTTACGAAATTTCTTCAGGAGTTTCACTATCTCCTCGTGTCCATAATCCTACAAAAAAACGAAAGCAATCTATATTAAATATTCCTCGCCAAGAGAAAGTATACGCCTGTTGATCTTTGTGACAAAGAATTCAATTAAACTCTTTGTTCTCAAAAAATATTCAAACTAGATTCACTGTAGCTGTAGAATGTGCGAACTGTGAAGTGATCTTAAGATAAAAGTCCACTAAACGCTTACTTCTGCAATGTCAAGAGGGGTTCGTCCATTGTTATCAACAACGTCCACCTTCGCTCTGTTGGCGATCAGCCACTTAACACACTCTACAAACCCGCTGCAAATATGAAAAAAACAGTGTTCGTCAGAGCGTCTTTCGACCGAATGTCACAATACGGAATCCGATGTAATCTCTACAGGCCAATCAGAATAATGGTTCATAGAGACACTTTCAATGAAGAGTCGAAAGTAAACCAGGATTGCCTTGGTTTTGCTTTACTTCGCTCTGTGATTGGTCCAGAAAAATCGGCCAACGTCTCAACCAATCAGATATAAAACTAAGAGCAATCCCAAGGTTGTCTGTTCTTAAATAGAGTTTTCATTGGTTAATGATGATGTTAACCTTTGTGCTGATTGGTTGATGTGATTATTTTGGTTTTGGTTTTTCGATAATTAATTAGAAAGTACTCTATCACAAGCAACCAAAGAGAATTCAAATTAAACACGTCACCGACCCTTCGCGGGTGGTTTGTTGAGAGGGCGCTAGAGTTGTGTAGAATAATCGCAAATTTGCACTTAAGAAAAATCAGTAGAGCCGGATTCCTTTCGACACCCACCTGTAATGTATTGGACGATTAAATATGCAGTCAGGAAGTAGAGCAAACAACATCGAAAAGACGGCAAAAATGCCCTGTAATGTAAAGCTGAATCGCGGTGACAACATACCTCATACAGGCCAAATGGAGGGGAGTAAGTTCGTCCACTGTTCTGCAGCTCAACGTACTTCCCATGGCCGACAGAATCTGAACGAAGGAAATATTACACAAAAAGCAATTTTTGGTAAATAATAGAAAAGTTATAGGCATTCAGTGTAAAATCGTGAAATTTGGCTTATCACTCAAATATCCGTTCATCTTTTAGTCAAAATTTTCATTTAAGACCTAAGTGAAGTTATCAAGCCACCTCGTTTCCCAATGTGAAGTGCAAAGAAACAAATTTTAGTCGCTTTCTGTCATCAGGTCCCCAAATTTTGAGTAAACTGACGTTAATCGCTTAACACAATTTAATGTGGTTTGAAATGGTTAAAG